GCAACTAAAAAATAACAAAGCATGGGTAAGTGAATCATAAGTAAGCCAAGCCACGCCAGCTGTTAGCCATTACTGACTGAGTTATAACTTAATTGGTAAATCCACCATAAAGGTCAGTAAAAATGGGTGTATTCAGCCAGTAAGCTCTATAATTTATAAAACGACATTAAAAAGATAAAAGAATAAGTCTTTGGGCTTTGATGAACTCTGACGTATGTGCCCTTAACAATGACTCCGGTTGCCAACTGCTGTACAAGTCAGTGTCAAGACAAATCTGACACCGGTTACCCGATTCTGGAGGAATGGAAGGCTTGATTGAACTGCGCGGACATCGATCCGGGTTTCGATCCCGTGTCCATCCGTGTGTGATAGTGCGCCATTTGCCACTACACCACCACATTCAGTGGTCGTAACGAGACAGCTAGCAAACTGTAAGATATGTCGCACACAAGGGGCGTGGCGGTCATCCTGACTATCCCCATTCGGTGACTTCACCACGTAAAAAGACTATTCTTCTCATACGTATTGGAATCTATCAAGTCCTTAGAGGAATGGCAAACAACTCTAAGTTCCCTTGCATGATATCCTTTCAACATGTCTCTTCAAAAGATGGAGCATGATTACTGTCAAATCAGATACTCTGACGTTCCTTCAGCAAAAACGGGATTACACAAAAGCTTGAAGAACTTCAAAGTCATCAATGGCTCATGCCAAACGTTCATAGGTCATATTCTTGAGGTTCCCTCCAAACCATGATTACATAACTGGTGGTTTCACTTTCTCTTCTAGAGGAATACTTTGAACAGGTCCAAGGGGAACGAACATTAAGGATAAAGGACGTTCCACTTTCATCAGTGTATCAAATGAATGGGAGAAACAATAAGAAAAAAGAAAGCGGGCGCTAATGTGGTCATCTAATTACTCCCCATTGTGCTGAAAAGGAGTAAAAAGAATCTCAGCAGAACAAACCCCGCTGCAAATGAAACATCAAACGTCATCAAATGCGCTTCCAAGCCGAACATTGTCCTAAACGAAGTGAAAGGAGCACAATAGAATATGAGATTTTGTGAGGCCGAATTCACGCCACTCTCCGGAGCCTCCTTACACTTGATCACCTGGGCTCCGCGCACTAACGAATGCGCCCAATAAGGAACACATCAAACAGTATATTGGCGCTGATCCACTTCTGCTTGGAAGCTGTGGAGAGTAACGAGATTATGTAAAAAGTGCCGCTCACTCTTAGGAAGCTCCACCTTGGATGAACTTCCTGCGCTTGATTTGTTGACCATTTCTTCAAATTCATCCAATTTTTCGGTGTTTCGTTTGGGCTTTTTGAGGCAAAATTACTATGTTTTTCACCTCACCGTCTACCTACAGGCGGGGACCCCCATTCATTTCTGCTCTTTTGACCTCGCCCTTGCCCTTACCTTCTCTTCCCCCCCCCCCCCTGTCCCATCCCTTCTCTATCCCCAACTTGACCCGACCTCTTCAGATGCTTTTTCAAGTAGTACAGAATTTCATGACAGACAGATAGATAGATAGGAGCGAATTCTGTGCAAATAGTCGGTACTGATTATGATTCCATAGGTAGAAAGTAGTGCTGATGACTTCATATAGAACGATTCTGGAACGTTCCCAAGCTTTTCGGATAAGTTGTGAATTTTTGATCTTAGCCCTACTCTCCATGTAGGTTTGACAATTCTTACTTCAACAGCCTTCATGCGCCTTTTCCTGTTTCTCGAACGCTTTTGAACAGAGTAATGAATTTTCGAACTTGACCCCACCATCTTTAAAAATTTGATATTCTCCATGGCCCCTTCCCCTCCCCTTCTGTTTTTTCTAGCCTTTCGTGAAATCGAATTATGAATTCAATCAGAAAGCACCGCCCACCGTGAGAGCGTTTCTCCCACCGCAGAGAGATCTCCTTCATTTCATTTGTCGACCCATCCCTCAATTTTGCTCATTTTTTTTCCGAAGTCTGGCCTGTTATGAAACAAATCATGAGGTTTTCCTCCACTTATATGCATGTCCCTTTCCCTATGGGCGGAACTCTTCCGAGCTCATAGCTCGTATTTACTCTGTATAAGTCCCTTACGACCAATCCATTCCGAACTTGCCGATACCTCTACAAATGCTTCTTCAGGTGATATCGAATTTCGTGGCATACACACAAACAGGCCGATCCGAGCACGGTTTATATAGTACGGATTGGGTGTCCCACCTGAACACTTTCTCGGACGGAGGAAAAATTACAACTGCTCATCAGCCTGACCGTGCACTCACTCGGTATTGATGCATGGCGACCAGTAATTTCCACTGTTATCGCAAAAAGAAGAAAAAGAGTGGCGTTTGGCCTTAGAGGGACAGTAAAATCACATGCCCGCGTAACCCTAGTTGGAACTCTTATGGTTAGAGTTGATAAAGCTTGTTCTTTCGTGAACTTTCTAAGAATCTCGAGAACAATCTTCCAAGTCTGTTAGCTCTTCTGTTGGAGATCTGTATTTTTGTTAGTCCCGTTTGCCACTCCGAGTACAATTTCGTGTTTTCGATGACATAATAACATAAGCAAGGCACACACGGTTAGCGATTTGTGGACAAAACCTCAGTCTCGGACGGGACTCGAACCCGTACTTGTGCTTTCCGAGCACCGTGCTCAATCCCTTACACTACCGAGACCCCGCTTGCCCTCGTCTTCTTAATGGCTAATATGCCATAGCTTATCAGCACTCACACGTATTTCTCTACAGAATCATGATTTAGCTCTCTAGCTAATTTCGCCATGAATTATTCAAACGAAAGTATTATTCACCCACCCACCCAAACATACTTCATATTCTCTCAATTTCTAAGAATTATAACTCAAATAGAAGAGATTCTGAATTCCGATGAGACCTATATAAGCTACTAGTTTGATGTTATTTTATTGTCTTTGAATGTCGCAATAAAGGCTTCACATCGAGCAGTCTCAACACCGTCCATCGACAGTGCAGAAAGTGTCGACCACGGCTGAATCTTTCTGTACTGGCGACGGCGGGGTCTTGGTATTATAGTATAAGGGATAGAGCAAGGTGCTCAGAGAGTACAAACACTTGTTCGAATCCTGTCCGAGACTGGATCTTTGCCCATAAATCAATTTGGATACGAGCTTCTATACAACTTTATGTAGCAATAACAGGGGCGGGGGTGGCGCAATGCCAAGTGGTCCAGTACCACACGTATAGTCCGGGATCAGATTCTGCATTAAGACACATCCGGGCTAACGAAGCCGTTAACACCCTCGAGATATATCAATTAGTAACAGTAGCTCGTCTAAAAGGATGAAAGCAATGACCTGACCACTGTTTGGCTGCCGCAGCTCATTGTATGGACTTTAGGAGTATGCGAACCCCGCTACGACTCTGAGTGGGAATGCAAATCAGGGCGCATCCCTGAACAAGATCGATCAACGGCAGAGTACAATACTAAATATTCAAAAGAGAACGAAAAAACGCGGATTCGCGTCTTTTTCGCCTTTTCTTTATAACTAGGTTGGCTTTCACTTTATTTACAGATACATAGTTGGACTCAGCTCGACGAGCTCTATACAATGGTGCACTGAAGAACAGAAAAAGGTAAAATTTTAAGTCCTCCGTTCATCAAAGCTCCTGGGGGCACGTCATTAGCAGCAACGCTCGCTATAATTATAACCAGAAGGCATTCTCTCCTATTGAAAATGTTCAGGGAGTTGTGGAGCAGTAACCATATTCCAAAACTGAACGAAAAGTGGACCATTGCTTCCTCATGTATTACTGATCATTTTGATACATATTTCTTCCAAAATGGGCAAATGGTCATGAACCAATCTTGACACGGGCGGCTTTTCTAGGTGAAAAATCGCAAATCTGAGCTAGTGAGCGTCGCTGCTAATGACGAATGACGTTTCCCCAGGAACTTTGATGGACGGAGGTTTCCAAATTCCACCTTTTTTCTGTTTTACAGTACACCATTGTATAGCGCTCGCCGAGCTGAGTGGAACTATGTAAAACTATCTGTGAAAAAAGTGAAAACCAACCTAGTTATAAAGAAAAGACGAAAAAGACGCAAATCCGCATTTTTTTTTTGTACTTTTTTGAATAATTAGGTTGGGTATCGTACCTTAACCTCACCCATTTACTCTCTGAATCTCTAGCTTTATAGACTGGTACCCACTGATTTCCAAGACACACGGTACACCTGATTCGAGATACAGTTGTGACCTCCTGTTTCTCGCATGCCAGTTGATTTAAGTTAGAAAAACGGTTCCTACAATTTGTTATCAGCAGTTCAAGTCAACCATCAAGATATCCATCTCAAGCCTACCTAACACGGGTCTTTAGTGACGTTTTGCGCTCGATCTGCCGTGCTTTGAGCTTTTTCAGTTACTAAGTAAATCGACGATAGTCCTTGTCTTTGACCTACAGCTTATCTTTAGTATATTAGAACGCATCGTTGGTGTTAGCTCTGAATCACAATATCATCTAAGTAACCATTCATATTTTTCAGGATGACGGTCCGATTATACCAATCCATCCTTTTGCTCGCTCTCGTGACTTCCAGCATGACACTGCAGAGCAGTGTTGACCCGGCACTGCTAACAGTCTTCTTAGGTGTTCCCGAAACTTATGATATCAATAGCAAGTGAGTTTCAATTAAACGTTCTGTCATACACATTTCAAGCCCTCTCTCAGGCACAGGGTTGATCTGGAGAGAGTTCAGCTCGTAATGGGCATCACTGCTCGGCTAAGTTAAGCTTCTGATGAATATCATGCTTAGTTTCAAGCCGATTTTGGCGATATCTTCAACAAGGTTAGATGCTGGAAAGCAGGGTTTCGAACCCAGCTTCCCAGCACTGATTTAACGATTTGTAGAAGAGATAGCAAAGGACCGTTCCTGGCCAAGATGGAAAAAGTCTCCATCCCGATCCATCCATACCGAGCCCAATCGAAAAATGCCGTTGAGGCCATCTGATTAACGGAACTAGCTCAAGTGATAGCTTCATGTCAGCAATCATCGTGGGAACTGGTTTTCAACGCAAACTCTTTGCGCACACTAAGGAATCGATAAGAACCTAAGGGTTGTTTCTGTAGTACTATATACTATTACCAATCGGGTCGCCCGGCTTACGCCAGGCCTCATTCCTTACTCTTACAAAGCAGTTGGAAAATGTAGTTAGATAGGAGGAAGGGGGAATCGTTTTTATCCAACACTGGGGGCTAGAGTGTGAAAAAGAAAAGGTAGCCGACTTCACCTGTGCTCAAAAACGGTTCTTAGCGAAAGTAGTTCGTTCGATGCAGTTTTAAGCTAAGCCTCAGAATGGGTGGGAGCGCTGGGGTGGGAGTGAGGTGATTAACTCGAGCAAAAAGCTAGGATGGGATACGAGCTGAATATTCAATTGATTCACCCACTTTGTGTTCCTCCCCTCCTCAACCTTAGGACAAAAAACTGTGTATTCTTGGCTAAGGAACGTTCTTGAACACAATTATGGGCTAACCTCTTTATATGCGCCTTGTCGCTCAAAGTTGAAAAAAAAGCTGAGACCTCCCAACTACATTATCACCTCGGATTTTTGTATAGACAGATATAGCACGGTGCCAGTACAGATCGAAATCGCAATTTTGACGTATACAATTCACTCCATATTGCTCACCTCACTCCGCAGTACTCATTCTACCTCATCAACCCACCCACCAATTTACTGTTTCATTTATAAGAAGGAAATGTAGCATAGAGCTGGGTATTCCACATAACTACCTTTATCGTAATCATAAGTTTCACGGGCGGACAGACAGACAAACCTACAGACCGACACACCGGCTGTTTCAGAGTGCACCTGAAGGATGACACTGAAGTCCATTTTGAACAGCAGCCCTATGTGGATGTTCTGAGCCCGCTGAAGTTTGAAGCGAAAACGCAGAAAGGGACTGTGCGACTTCAAGGCCGACAAGTCACAAGTGATATGGAACTCAGACCTTATAACTGTAGCTCAGCCAATAACGATGACTGCCCAGCACTGTGAGTCCTGCTGTGTTCGCGAAATGTGTTTGATTCCGCACGACTTCATTCCCTTACAGGCTCAAAGACTTCTACATTAGTGTGACGGTGCTGAAGTCATCACTGGTAAATGCTCTGGTGATGATTGTTGGATGGTCCTACTTTACTGCATGGAGTGTTTCGTTCTACCCACAGATAGTTTTGAACTATCAAAGAAAAAGGTCTGCGACCATAGTAATGGGTGCTACAGCGCCAGTAGAGGAATTCTGTGTTTTGCAGTGTAGTAGGCCTCAATTTCGACTTCTTGGTCCTAAACATCGTCGGATTCTCTGCGTACTCGATTTACAATCTTTTTCTTTTCTTTGATTCGAACGTACAGGTGCGAATCTTGTTCATCCAGCTTCTTTTACACAAATTATCGAATATTTATACCAAAATGAGACAGTAAGCGAGAGTGGCTCACATACCTTATGGCAACACTAGAGAAGGCCTTAAACCGCTACCGCTACTTAGCAAAAATGTGCACTATTCGAACTGGGATCCTATTCATCGGAAAACCGTGGGTGACCGTTGGAAAGTTGGATAAGTCAGGGGGGGGGGGGCAGAAACGTATATGGTAATGTACAAATCACAGAGACCACGGTTGTTGGTGTTAACGGTCTGCTTAGAAGGGATTGCACCAGGACTGCTTCTATCCAGACGCATCATCTTTATTATCGAATATGAACCTACATATTCCATCACCTGGCCGCCTAAGCCGATCTAGCCTTCCGTCTTTCTGAGGTAAATGACACCAGGTTCCTCTGGGAGGATAAACTCGACGATGCGTACACGGCTTCAAATTGCAGGTCATTACATCGGCCAAATACGCGTTCAATACGCCACTACGATCTTGAATGGCAGTCTAATGCAGGGCGCATCCATTTAGATTTTCAAAAGCATTTGCGCTTTATTTGAACCCAATACATCACTACCGTTTATAACCGAGCTCTATTTGTCTCAATATTGAGAATGTAATGAGTTTACTGTTTTAACTGTTTTGATAGTTAAAACTTCCACTTTAGAGGATATACGAAGAGGCACATCCGCACAGTCCGATTCCAGTGCTGATCAACGACGTCTTCTTCGCCACACACGCACTGTTCGCGTGTATCCTGACTGCCGCTCAGTGTTTTATCTATGAGGTTAGAATGGGTTAGAATGGTAACCGCTGATCTCAGCGATAATGAATTTTCGTGTATTCTAGCGAGGTGCTCAACGGGTTTCTTACGTATGCATGTCCATCACACTTTTCATGTTCGCAGCTGCCTGTGGGGCAGGGGTCGTCACCTTTCTTGGTTTCATGAACATGCTACAATTTGTCACCAGCTTATCGTACATCAAAATGGCCGTAACACTGCTCAAATACATACCACAGGTTGGTCAAATAAATCGGTTCTTTTCAATCAAAGAATGGTGAGAATGAGGTGGAATTTCGCTCCTACTGCACAAGGTGTGGTGCAGTAGGAGCGAAGTTGTCGCGTTGCGGCGAGGGAGACGTCGCGCGCGAAGGAATGTAACAGAATGCAGCAGCAAGTTAGAAATACAGGAACAAAAGAACCAACATTAGAATCGTGTCCAAAGTAATAATTGTGTAGCGATTGAGCTGTATGAAGAACGCTAGAACTGTTATAATGACTGTTATAATGAGGCAAATGGTCCGCGGCAGCGCGTGCGGCGGATTCATTTCACAAAACCTTTCCTCCTGCCCGTTTCCCAGAAATACCTCCACGCTACTGATTTTTGTAGGGCTAAGTGTGCGTAGGCGATTTTTCCATGTGGATTTCGTCCTATGCGCTGTACACCTTTTTTTTTCAAGCTCGTCACTTATGGATGTAACCAGGGTTTAGAACTGATTCCAGAATAATGTAGCATTGCCAAGTAAGTAACGTAACGACAAGTAACGTAGCCTTTCGAAAGCTGGACCATTCAAAGTAACAATCGCTACTGTTTAATGCAAAACGCCACATGTTCTCCACTTTCACTCATTTGTACCTAACTATAAACACGCCAACTAACTTTAACCACCTTGTCCAGTGTTGCATCCCAGTGACTACCTTCACAGATCACCATAATCACAGCTTCTATTTGATCGGTTCATAATTTCTGAGGCCATTTGCATTTCACCTGTATCACCTGTCGCCCGTTGATCATCGACTTCCTCGAGCGGGCGCCATTAACGTCTCCATCCGTTCCTATCACGAGCCAGAGTGGTCCAGTGAATCGTTCTCGCTTCAGGGACACGAGGTTCAACATTCCTTTCGTGAAGAAGTCTGACCATCTCGTTGGCGGCCGTCCTGTAGATCGTTTGATGTCGCGAGGGATCCAGTCAGTAACCGCCCTGGTCCAACGGTCATCACTATATCGCATAACGTGTCCGGCCCACCTGATCTTCGATTTCTTGGCGTAATCAACGGCATCCCTGATCTTCGTTCGGTGACGGAGCTCGGAACTCCGGATTCCCTTCTGCACTTGCGTGTATAGGGAAATTCCGAGCATCGTCCTTTCCAAAGCGCGTTGAGTAACGCTGACAGCATGCTCATCCTGCTTTCGTAAAGTCCAGGTCTCCGAAGTGTACGTCAAAGCAGGAAGGACAGCAGTGTCGAAAAGGTGAGCGCGGAGCCCGATGTTCTTTGTCTTCTTCACTACTCCCCCGATATTCTTAAATGTTCTCCGCGG